GGACGGGACCCCCACGGACACCCCACAGCAAGCAGGGCGGCAGGAGGAAGCCCTGATGGCCGAGCTCTCGGAGCGGGTGCAGGAGGTGGTGAAGAGCAGCAGCTGGTGGGACCGCCACGGCGTGGACATCAGCATCCTCGCCTGCAGCTTCCTCCTGCTCCCGGCAGGTAATCCACCTCAGCCCCCCCAAACCGTGGCCAGGGGAGTTCTGGGGGGGTGGTCCTGCTGCTTCCTTGCAGCTTTTGCACGGCTGGTGTAACTTTATTTGTGCTGGAAGCCTATTAGCAGCCTATGAAGGCTGTAACAAAGCCACAATAACCCCTTTGCCCCGTGCTGTGGGGCACCCTGACCCCCTGGAAACCCACAGTGGGTGATGGTGGCACTGGGGGTACAGCCTGGGGTGAGGGGATGGTGGCACCCAGGGTACATCCTGGAGGGAGGGGATGGTGCCCAGGCAGATGGGCACAGGGCAGGTCAGGGACCGATGTGCCCCATCTGCGCCCGGCCATGGGGCAGGTAACCCTGACAGTTTTGGTGACAATGGCCCCTGCCGTGGTGGGTGCAGGGGGACATGAAGAGCATGGTTGGAAAGCTGCAGCTGGTGCCTTCTCTTGCTTTTGAACTCCTGGGGGTGCTGAGATCCTCGCAGGGTCATATTTGTCACCAGCGGGATGCCAGCCAGAGCTGCGGGGTGGGACCTGGCACCAGCAGTGCCCGGTGCCATCGTGGCTGGAAGTGGCCAAACCTTCAGCACGACAGCGAGTGCAGCTCATCCAGCCACGCAGGGCGGTGCGGAGGGAACCTTTCCAGCTCAGGCAGTTTCAATACTTGTAACTACATCTGAAAAACAGGTTTAGGGCAGCGGCTGGCATGTCTGAGTGTAGCAACACCTCCATCCCGGCTGGGAGGTGAGTGGAGCTGCAGCACATGTGCCGAGCTCCTGCCCGGCTGGTTTCTCTGCAGGGTTCCTGTGCCTGCGGTCAGCCCAAGCCATCCCTTTCCTGGCGGGTGTCCTCACCCTCGGCGTGGTGTATCACACCCTGGCTGTGAAGGGCAGCCACCTGGCCAGCCACAACGCCTTGACCGAGTCCAAGTCCTGGGGCAAAATGTGGGCCATCTTCTTCATTGAGGTGAGTGGGGATGTGGGGTTTGGTGGCAGCCCCCCCTCCAAAAAAAACCCCATCAGTACCTTGCCAGCACACAAAGCCCTTCAGGAACGGCCACCAAAGACCAAGATGTATCCAAAACCTCCCTGATCCCTGTGCAGGAGAGTTAAATGAAAAGCAACACAGCACCAGGGACATCCCTGCTCGTGGGGCTTTGCCTGGAAGCAGCAGGGCGGGGGGTGAGCCCCTGTCTGTGGAGGGTCCCCTTGGCTGCAGAGCAGGATCATGTGTTGAGGGGAATACTGGGGAATGGTTTCCAATTATTAACTCTAAGAAGTCAATTTCCAGACTGGTTTGGAGCCTGTAGGGTGCAGATCATCCCCCCAGGTCCCTGGTGCCACAGCTGTTGGCATCGCCTCCTTTTTCTCTTCCCTCCCAGTTCTGTTCAGCTTTCACAGTTGAGCAGGCCACCTACAACCATGTGAAGATCCACCACGGCTACACCAATGTCATCGGCCTGGGAGACTCCAGCACCTGGAAGGTTCCTTTCCTGAACCGTTACGTCTACATGTTTATCGCGCCTCTTGCCGTGCCCATCATAACGCCTCTGGTTGCTCTCAGTACGTATCCCAACCACCTCGGGACGGGGTGCTGGGTATGGTGAGCTCATTACTGTCCAGGTCTCACCCCACTTCACTTTTTCCTATGTTGCTTCAAGTGTTGGAAGCTCTGGCAAAAGCCATCACGAGCCTGAAGTGCTCTCCTTTGATTCAGACCCTTGGCCATAGCAGGGTTCAGCATCACACGTAGGTCTCTGGCCGGTCAGAGCATCATCGTGATTTTGCTGACTGCGTGCGAGGTGGAGGTGTGGGGATCTGCAAGGGCTGGGATGCAACGGGCCTGGGGAGATGAGGCAGTGGCTCGGGGGAAATAATGGTGCTGGGAAACAGCTGGGGAGAAGAGCCCAGAAAATAGTAAGAGGCCGAGGAAGCCCTGCCCATCGGGATGAACATGTGGCTCTGGGCGATGCCAAAAACACAGATGATGACTTGGCAAGTTGTAAGAACTGAAGATGCAGCCAAATTCCCATGTGATGATGCACAGCTGGACCCACTGCGGGGCTGCAGCCTGCAGAGCATGGTCCTGGGGGGCTCTGGGGTCCAGCCCCAAAAACCAGCAGGTCAGCAGGGCTGGGGGGTTTGGGTCAACATGGAGGATTGGGAAAGGGAGACAAGGAACGGGTTGGAATGGGATGGGCTGTAGGTTTGTCAGCATGCCGGGCAGCCTGGCTGCTGGAGTGACAGCGGTGGGGAAGCATCAGCACCTTGGGCCTGTGCTGCCTCTTCTTCCTCACGCAGATTTGTTGAGGAACGTGGAGTGGAAGGCGGCTCTCCGGACCCTGTGCTGCATGTTCCTGGGTCTTTACTGCCATTACTGGCTGCTGCTCCACATCTCGGGCTTCCAGTCACCGTGGTCTGCCCTGCTCTGCATGCTGCTCACCCGCTCACTCCTGGCCCATCCCTACATCCACGTCAACATATTCCAGGTACAGACACAAAGCTCTGAGATGTCCCCATGGTGCTGGAGACAGGCCAGCCACCACCCAGCGCCGGTGACATAGCCCTGATGCTGCTGGCTGGAGCTTGTGTCATCTTAGGGAGAGCAGCATCGGTTGTCACCTCCCTCGTGTCGATGCCATCACGGGGAGTCAGGCTGCTGGTTCTGGGTGGGCAGTGGTGGCACTGGGGGGACATCAGGGCAGATGGGTGCGAAGGGCTGGAGGTGATGTCCCCTGCGGTGGCTTGCAGGACGCGGGGGCTGGTGGATGTGTGGTTGGTAGTGCAGGTCCTGGGATGGAGAGAGGCTGGTGGCACAGAGTGTGGGTGGGTTGGGGGACAGAGCCTGGGTGCTCCTTAGTGGCTCGGTGGACAGACAAGTGCAG